GATTCATATTCTATACAAATTGGGTCTCAAACAAAAAATGAGCCTCTTTGTCCTTGGCCTATATCATAGAATCATAGATATATATTTGTGTCTTGGAGAAATTACTCAGTGTTAACGTACAACACACTTTATATAACGTGATTGAAAAATCAATGCAATATAGCACTGGAGTCAGTGAATAAGGATTGATATTTTATACATAGTAAAGTATTCAAAATGCACTGCTTTCAGCCAATATCTAAAACAGGGTTAAATATTATTAATGACTATGAAAAAATCACAAATAAAGTAAAGATCTTTACATAAGGCCCTTATTTATCTTGGGAGGAGTGGGGTTAGGATGAAAGGGTTACTGGCATCCATAACATTTTTATCTAATCCAGGATCATCACTTGAATAATTTTTAGGTGTTTGGGGTTCTATTATTATTAAATATCTAGTACCCTCCAAATACATGTTTGTACTGTAGCGATACTAATGCTATTATAGGACAGGCAAATTTGTACATACTAAATGTAGGGATTCAAAACAGCAAACTAACATGTTTGGGCATCCATGTTATTATATAATGTCTCACAGCATATAAATCAATGAGAGTTTTGCCATTGTCTTCAATCGGCACTGGATCAAGCCCATACTAGATTAAATACCACTCTTAATTAAGTTAATCATAGCTTTGCCACTGACTTAATGGCAGCAGAAGCAAGATCATGCTGTCTTTACTCTAGGGACTGATTACGTTCCAACTAAAAGCAATGACCAAACTCCCTCCTGACTTCAGTGCGTCCAGCCCTTACAATTACAGAACCAATTTCTGCTCTCATGCTCACCAAGGTAAATCTGGAGAAACTCCAGTAATGTCAGCGGAGATACACTAGTGTAAATGTAGTGTATCTGTGAGAAGATTTTATCCCTGAAAGTTGCCTTTGTATTTTTATTTTTCAGCACAGTATCAGTCACTGCAAAATGTGTTTAGTAAATTTGCATTGCGGTTAAAAATACAGTACAGCCAATGCAAGGCATACAAACGATGCACCAAGTTAACAAGCCTCTATTTTTAGAAAACAAATGTATGCAGCTATATTATTAATGACACCGTCATAACTACAAATGAAATAATTTTCAAAAACTACTTTAGGGCTTAAGCTTCAAGTTATTATTCAGCAGGAACTGCCATTGACTGCATGACTGGGCCTATACTTTTCACCACTAGTGCTTTTGGGTCACTTTTTAGGTTTCACTGCTCTTGCGCAATGAAAAAAAAGTCAGAATTAAGTCCTGATTTCTTAGTCTGTATCTCACTCTGATTCCCATATATGGCTACCATGCTGCATGTATAATCTAGGACCGCAGGGGAATGTTTAATCTAGTTGCACATGAAGATTTTTATTAAGATTTGTAAAACATTTTTAATACAAAATCTAAATTTGGAGCCTAAACTACCTGATGGTCTCTTCTTGACTTTCAGCTACAAATGCTTCTAAGCTATAATAAAGGCACGTGGATGGATAGTTGTAGGGAATTCATTAAACATAAATTAATTTTGATCCTTTGCAAAATTGTCTTATACAAACTGATTAATGAGAGGGGATCAAGGTCAAGACAAACATCCTTGACATTGTATGACTGTACTGCCAGGCATTTCAATGTGGAAGATATCAGAAACTGACTAGAGGCTACGTTCTGCTCATGTTACTAATGCAAACAGTCCCATTTGACTTCAGTGAGACTATTTGGGTGAGTAAGGCAAGTAGATTTGATTTAAACACTGGATAGTGGGATAAACTTTCATACATATTTTAAAATATTTGCCCTAATATCTATGAATAAAAAATGTCTAATTACTTTACAGTTTTTCTCTCTTCTGAAAACAAACTCAAAGAGAGTGTTATAGACATTTAACAAAGTCTAGTTTCAGAACTATGATTGTACCAAACAATTTTATTAATATTTCCATACAAATCTTTTAAATAAATTCTGCCTAATATTTTGATGTTGTTGAAAGCAAACAAAGGTCACTGAAACATTTTTTCTGAGTTTTACATTATACTGGATATTATAAGTTAACTCTGTTTCCTTTATAAACTAATCTAAAAATAGTAATGCTCAAGGCAGGGTAAAAACAATACATTTTGCTTTCTTTACTTTATTTCAAAATAGAGCGATTATCAATACATTCTTGTTATATTTCCTTCCCAACTCTTTGGATGCAAAATAAAATTAAACAAAACAAAAAATAAAAATAAAACATCCCACTGTGCTCATTTCATACAATAGCAATGTACAAATCATGCAAAAAATATTATAGATCGTATACCACCATCAATTTCTAGATGTGTTTGTTAACTCTGAGACATTTGTTAACATTAGTCACAAGGCCATGCCTTTTATAATGTATACCGTTATGGCTTTAAAAATTACCTTTTGGATTATCTTTCGATTTATTTACTCTCAGTCTGGAAAACTAAATGCAAAATGTCAACTGATGTCTGGACTCAAATTGCTGCATTATAATGACTGTTTTCTGAGAAAATTGCACAACGTTTTTCTCTTTCAAAGAAATGATTACACTTTATTGATTTCATTAAAAATGTAAACTTGATTTATAATACAATGAACACAATAAATTATGTTTGTTAACACCTTCACTGCTTTAGTGCTGCATGTATGTCATTGCAGCCACTGTAACAATATGGCTGCTCAAATCAATATAATGCAAAGGCTGGCCTGGTCTGTTTAGCCACAAGAAAGCGTGCATTTCCTGGACAGACTAGCATTAGATTGGAATGACCATTCCACTAAACTGTTATCCAGACACATACACTGTCCCTTAACACTGGAGGAAGTAAACTAACATTCAGGTTGTCATTTAAATCAACAGCATCAAAGAAATATAGAGGTTTGCCCACCTTTGCAATTTTTTTTTTATTTTTACTCACACTGCTATGCCTAGGTATTGCACCACATATGTCAAACACTATTGAAAGACCTACATAATATGCCCAGACTGAGCAACCCTTATTGACACTGGTGAGTATACATTCCATTGACCCTGTTGAATTCAGTCAGACAACTCATGGGAGCAAAGTGATCACCACCGTGAATAAGGGTTCCACAGCAGGGACGAACTATGTAATACACAACAATGCTCCTCCACCTGCTCCCATTTAAGTCAATGCCAATGCTACCATGCATTTAGGCCCTGATCCAGCAACACACTAAAGCCTGTGCTCACTTTTAAACTCGTGAGTACTCTCATTGCACATGATTAAAGTTGGGCATGTGATTAAATGCTTTGCTGGAGGGGGACCTAAGAGTCGTCAGATCTGTCCAATGTGAGCATAATGGCAAAGTTCTTCTTCTCTTAAACAGTCAATGAGAGATTTCCCCAGGCGGAAAAGGGGAAGACCGGACCCAATTAATGTAGTTGAGGGAGGCATATCAACCTTAACTGTTGTTCTGTTAACTCTGATCAATATCAACCACAAATATATCACCTTTAACAACACTCACAACGTAGCATTTATTTATTACATAGTTGTGTATTCTTTTTAATGCACCTCTCGCAACAGAAGGATATGAGACAGAGGCTCTGATGAGGCTTGAAGTGTGTCAAATGCTCTCTGCCTTGGTAAATCTCAGTGACCCTTGACGCATTCTCAAAGCTGTGCAGTACTGAGTGGAAGGTAGCAACCCATTATCCTCAGATTGCTGATGGTGCCTTTATGGTCTAGCATTTCAGTACATCGTTAAGATTCCTTAATCCATAGGCCCTTGACACAATAAACTAAAACACTTTCCTCAGAGCCTGTGCCATGATTTGGGTCAACAGGCAATTAGGAATCTTTTAGGCCAGGAATACATGCATGCATAGTAACCATATCCAGAAAATCCCTCTGACATTTTGGATGAAATAAGTTAGTGCGCATGTGTAATAGCAGCTTTTTCAAGATGAACCGATCCATTGTTTATTTATTTAAAAAACATCTAAAGTCCCTCATACATTTTGTACCATGGGGAAATTAGGGGGGAAAAAAACCTTTTGAAATTACAAGCAGAAAATCTCTCTCTCTCTCTCTCTCTCTCTCTCTTTAAAATAAAGAAGCACTGATGCTTTTAAAAAACTTTGTTAAAAAAATATTCCAGGCGTTATGCCAAGGCTCATCCCAGACTAAAATTTTACAGCAGTGTTATAAAGCCCTGAAATTAGAGGTTTAGACTGGAAAATGCTGACGCAGCCTTAACCATAGTAGTGCTATCGGGCTTTGTGGTAATAGCTGCCACTTGGAATTCATGAAAACATTAATGTTTATTTTCTATTGCAACTTGATAGACTTATGTATTGATTTTAAAAGGCATGGGGGGGGGAGGGAGAATTTATGGCAGCAAAACAGCTTAAGGTCCTGATACAAAGTCTATTGACATCAGTGGAGAAGCCCCTATTGTCTTGAATGGGTTGTGAATCAGGCAGATTTTCTGTATGATGCTTTACCAATACATGCCTACTGTGATCTTAAGTTACCATTTCCCAGTGAGAAAAAGGGGGTGTTTTCTATCTTGACCATTTGTTGCTATCAATTGAGATTCAGCTTTCACAAAGGCAAGTGTCTATTCTTCATAGATGTGGACTACAAAATACTCTGAACTAAACCAAGACCATTAAATACATTTTACAATGTGGCTTTGATAGACACATGATTGCCATATGGTTTCCTGTTCTGATTCATTATCTGACTGACAGCAGTCCAATAGATAACAGGGACAAAAAAAATGCTGCATATACAATTAAACTATTACCCTTATTCATTAATGCCTGTAAATACTTGTAGTGAACACTATTTAGATTAAGCTGCAGAACCCTGAAAAGCAAGACAACCGATGGCAAATAATTGCCTGAGACACAATACTAAAAAACTAATGAATCTATTTTAAAATGCACCATTGGTAACAAATCTGAAATAAGATAATAATATACTAATTTCACAAGAATAGTACAGAACATTTTTATTATTATTATTATACCTGATCATGGGATCCTGGATAATTCTATACAATTTGTCACCAGTTTTTGTTTGGTATATTGTTCTGTTTTTAATTTATACTGAATTATTAATGCATTGTGATCAGGAAAACAAGTCAGGCATATTAAATACATATTACGGAGTACATATTTTCCTATTTAGTATACAAAGTATTTCATAAATATGAATTATCTTACAAAAATAATTTCTGCTACGCTCACACAGTAAGCACTTTGAAAAGTTTGGTCAACCTTTTGGGGTTGTAGGAGTTTCACATAACTGAGAAGGAACTCTAGTCTGAATTGGATTTGATTCTTACATAAGATTCTGCATGAACATCAAGTATTTTCTTCATATCACTACAAATGCTGCAGAAGTCAGCTTGCACTTTTTTTTCTTTTCTTTTTTTTTTAATTTTATGTATAGACAGGTATACTTCAAGGGTCAAATTTATTTTATAGGTATGTTATGCATGGTATATTTTAAACAAATATTTGCACAATTTAACATTATAAATCCAGTGGTTTCAAGATGCAGGCCATAAATGTAACCGATTTACACATACTATTGAATGTTCTCTCTTTGCATGCTTTTTACTTTTTCAGATAATCTTTAAACAGTGCCGTTACAACACCACAAATCAAAGGATTACTCCAGTTCCACCAACTTAATCCACGTGCAAGATGAAGGACCCAGCTGAGGTACAAACACTGGTACCAGTTTTCTTGTGTTTGCTCTTACAAATCACAAGGAGACAAAGGTTTTGCATTTAAGGTACAAAACATATATGCCTTTTGAGGTTAAATTCAGTGTAATATGTGTCTAAAGCATCCCTTTGGCAATAGAGTTTGCAGTATCCCTACAGGATTCCAGAGGGTATCAGCTTTATGTAGTAAAATCTATTAAGGAAATTCTCCTCTACTTGACAAATCATATGCAGCTACAGACAGATACCCTTTGATATACCTGCCTCTTTGCCTACCAATATAATATAGTATTCGGAAGTTAAAAGTCAACAAAAGGCACTTTCATCATTAAATAAATGTCCTCTGTAAGAAATAAGATTGCATGACCTATATTTTATTCAAAGCTGTTTGTTCTTCAAGGACTTGTAGGTAGTCAGGTGAACCTTGAAGTTTAGCTTTCAGTTCAAAATATTCACTCTTTCTTTGCTCTACTACAATTTTACTATGATTACCACCTATTAATGACTTCTTGATTTTTTTGTCTTGTTGTTTCTCTGGATAACGTATTTCAAAGCCACTGACCCCTATGCTGTTGTATTCTTTTTTACTTTCAAGAAAATTCTGAATAAATACATTGGAATCCCTCCCAGGAAACAACTCATCCAGTTCATCAATTGTGCTCAGTCTTTTTCTGGTATCCACATGCAATAAATCCTTTTCCTTGTCGGTAATATTTCTCAGAATGATTTTTTGCCCTTGTGGATCAGCAAACGTGAAGCCTGTTTCGGATTCTTTTAAGCCACAAGTGTGACTTTTGCTCATCTGCTCAATGGTTTGAGGAATGAAGGCCTCTGCACCTAGTCCATCCTTTTTGTTTGATTTGTGGTCGTGCTTTCTTAGCTGCAGTTGCATGGAACTGCACTCTTGGTTCCCAATTCCTTCGTGCTTTACTGTTGGTTTCTTGTTGCGCCGAAGCACAAAGACAAGAAGGCAAAAAGCAACAAACACTGTTAAAATAAGCACAACTAGTATGCTTAAGATTAGGATGGACAATGGAACTGGGCCACCAGGAGGACTTCGAATTGGACCCAACGGTGTAGTAAAAGTGACAGCAGGCACAGGACTAGTGAACAGAGCAGATGGCTTGTTTAAAAGTTTAGGACATAAGATCTCATTTTTGAGAGACTTCAGTTCAATGTTAGCAAACTGAACAGGTGTTTCACATTTTAATTCCTTCACCACAATACCTTCATTTAGTTTTTCCAGCCATAGTTTTAAAGCAACTAAATCACACGTGCAGTCCCACGGATTACCTTCCAGATCAATTTGTGTAAGAGATTTTAGCTGATCAAGAACGCCACTTACAGGTAGATACATGAAATGATTGTTCCTCAGATTCAGTCTAGCCAGTGGAGCACCAGCAAAAATGTAAGCCGGCAGACTTCTAAGAAGATTGTTGTTCAAGTAGAGCAACTGCAAATTTGGCATTAAGTCAAAGGTGCTGGCTAAAATTTCTTTGATAACGTTGTATTCCAAATACAGATATTGCAAATTATGGAGGCCAGCAAACATTTCTGGACTCAGCCGCTCTATCTGATTGCCATTAAGATACAATCTCCGTAAATTTGTAAGGTTGCGGAAAACCGCCCCTTTGATTACTGCAATCTGATTGCTGCCTAAATGTAGTAAATCCAGCCCTTCAAAGTCAATGAAATCTGAGGTGTCCACATCCTTAATATAATTGCCATTTACATGCAGTTTCTTGGCATTGAAAGGTTTTGGTACGAGTTCGGCCAATGATTCTATATTTCTTTCTTGGCAGTTTACACTTAATCCCAAATCAGAAGGGTGAGTTTTGCAGACACATGGGCTTGGGCAAGGAGTTAGAGGAGGTACCCTGGTCTGATAAGACACAATTTGACTGAGATTGCGATTAGAGAGCGCTTTTCCTGCTACTATCCCCGAGATCTTGGAAGGATTTGTAGTTTTCGGAGGCTTGGTGACTAACCTGTGCATTGACGTTTGCGTAGTGTGGCCATTAGGCGTGCTGTAACCAGGCTCCAACTGGGATGGAGGCAGAATGCGCACATCAAAATCACTCCCAGTCCCCATGGAGCATAATTCTTGTTTATTGGTTTCCTTTAAAAGCCTTCCATACAAGTCACTGGGCGTTTCACAGATAGCTTCTCCAATGTAAATGTTATAGGGCATATTCTCCAGCCAGGCTTTCAAAGGCAACAAATCACAGGTACAATTCCAAGGGTTATCTTCCAGCTGCAGTTCGACAACTCGACCAATGTGTTCCAGAACTCCAATGTAGGGAAGCTTCTGTATTCGATTCCCTCGTATATCCAGATGGGTTAGAGAAGCGAATCGAAAAATATTATCGGGCAGGAATGAAATCAGATTGTCATTAAGGATGAGGACTTTCAGCTTGTGAAGCTTATTGAAGGCTCCCCGTTCAATATACTTGATTAAATTGTAGTCAGCTTGGAGATACTCCAAGTTCTCTATGCCAAGGAAAGTGTCAGCTCGGAGAATCTTTAATTCATTGTTGTTCAAGTGCAACTGTTTTAATGCACTGAGCCCAAGGAATGCTCCTCCCTCAATGTTCTGCAATTTATTGTTACCCAGTTGCAGGGACACTGCATGTGTAAAATTAAGAAATGTATTTGGATATAGAATAATCAGTAGGTTGTTCTGAAAATTAAGATGGTAAAAATTAGACCAAGGTGGTTTGAGCTGATTTGGTCGGTAGACTGCAACCTTCTCGCAATTGACATACAGTACATTCTCAACTGACACACACGAGCAAACATTGCAAATTTCCACCGAGATGTCAGGATCTGTATTTGTAGAAGAAACTGGGGTTGACAAAACCAGAACGAGCCACAGCAACATCTTCTTGTGATCAGCAAGCAACCTTATGCTCCTGAATAAAGATACAGAATCTAAAGAAGAAAGAAAGAAAAAAAGAAAAGAAAATATTTTTTCAGTTGTCATTATTCCAAAAAGTCATTTGGGTTAATATTCTACTCTACTATGCTACTGTACCTGATTAGTATTACAGATAAAGTATAAACACTAAATATAAAGTACAATGAAAGGTTGTTTTTTTTAACAACCCCACAAAATAATTACAGATATAGAATGTGAACCTGTGTAGACACACACACAAATATATGTGGGACTATAACATATCTCCTGTACATGACAAACATGCATAACTAACAAAGTAAAATAAGCAAAGCAGGTTTAAATTTTTACTCATATGAACTATCCACAATTCTGTTACTGTACATATATTGCCATATATGTCAAGGATGTTAAACACACTTTGATGTTAGGTATGTTACACACATGTGGGTTGAGATAATACAATGGATAACATAAAGATGTGGGGGGAAGAGCAGTGCCTCTATACAAGGTTACAGCTGTATCTACATATATAACTATCACTATACAGAGAGTGAGCGAACACACACAGAAATATCACTACTGTGCTTATTAAACGAATTGCAAGTAACATACTCTAAAGCGGTCAGAGAGAGACAATGCATTGTCCATAAATCAGGATGATCAGCTATATGTTAATGACGGAGGGATGTGTAAGGACCATCTACAGACATGCAGTCCCATTCCCAATAACGATACCCTGATTGGCAGTGCACAACAAAGTCGTAATCCGCCAGTGTGACATCACCAAAACCTTATTGCAACTTTTATGGAAGAAACTGATCTCACGTGCCCTGGTCCCTGACATGAAGGTAGCTTGCAAGAGCCCCTCTCCTATGGCCAGGCCATGTTTCGCTGCCATTTTTCACTCGGAGATCGGGAGCCGCTGTCTTTTCTCGGGGTTAGGGGCTGGTGGGGATTTTTCCGTCAGCTCTAGCGGAGTCCCCACCGTTGGGAGGAAGCGAGCTGGGGCGGCAGGGAGCCCCTGCATGGGAAGGGGAAGCAGGAAGGGAAGGCAGAGGAGGGCCGAGGGGAGACGGAGAGGAGGGCAGAAGGACGCGAGGGAGGCGGCTGCAGGACAGAGGGGAAGGTAGGAAGGAAGAGGGAGGTGGGAAGAAGGGGGCAGGGAATTAGGAGGGCGCTGGGGCAGGGGGAGTGGAGGGGGGGGTGGGAATCCAGCGGACAGAGCCGATCCCCACGTGCTGTCGCTTTCCGAAGCCTTCCCACGGCCGCCCCCCAGCCCGCGGCTGGTCCGCAGCGCCCGGTCCATGCGGGTCTCCGCCCCCGCCCGCGCTGGTACCCCGGGCTCCCCCCAGCAGCGAGCCCCGGGCGGTACCTACGCCGGAGGAGGAGGGGGGGGGGCGATTCCGCAATGTTTTGCCGCAACACGGTGGCCGCAGCCGAGCGGCTCGGCTGGTGCCGGCTCCAGCGCCCGGTCGTGGGCGCCCTGTCCCCGCGGCTGCAGGCTGGGAGGGGGGGAGGACGAGGGACGGGGGGAGGGGAGCGCGGCTCCCCCCCCCGAGCCAGCCCCCTTTTGCAACAATGCACAATCACCCCCTCAGGGCACCTTTGCGAAGTCCCCTTCCCCCGCGGCCCCATCCCAGCCCCGCGGGGAAGCCGGCGGAAAAGCCGGGCAGCGAGCGAGCGAGCGCCGGGGAACTTGGTGCCATTAACCCCGGGGCTCCGGGAAGCCGGCGGCGGCTTGCAGGGAGAGGCGATCGGGCCGGGGTCAGGCTGCCGGAGGAAGCCCTCAGCCGGCTCCCCCAGTGGGAAGCCTCCGAAATAAATCCAATCAAAGCCACACACCGAAAAACCAAATCCCTGCTCGCCCCCGGAGCCACGTTGTGTCCGGCGGCGGATCGCCCAGCCAGGGCGGAGCGGCACCTTCCTGCCTTACCTTGGCCATCCGGCTCCATCTCCGGCTGCGCCGCTATCTGCTCTGCAGTTTCTGCGATTGTCTCTACGTGATCTGGACTTCTGCTGCTCCGCGCACACACACACACAGGGAGGGAGACACACACACACACGAGCAACACAGGGAGAGACACACACAGTGTGGGCCCCCCCCCCCCCCACCAACACACACACACACAGCGGTTATTACCCCTACAGACCCAAAGCAACGGAAATACACTCAGTGACACAGACTAGCCCTATAGACACACACACACACACAGTCGCACGCGCACACACATTATCCTGTACACACACAGAGCTTTCCCCTTCCACACAGCCACTGAGATTTCCCCCTCCACACATATAGAATCATCACACACACCCAGAGAGAGCTCTCACCCATCCCTTACATGCAGGAAGACACACACACACACACACACACACACACACACACACACACACACACACACACACACACAGGCTGCTCAGAGGGACGGAAAAGCCAGAGGAAACGAAGGAGAGCGAGACGTGGATCTAAGAAACCAATGTGCCCCAGAACACGAACGACTCAAGCCAACAAACAAACCAACAAACAAATGCATAGCTGCACCGCCCCCCCCCCCCCCCCCCCCCCCCCCCCCCGGGGGGCCGGGGACCCCCCCCTCCCCCCCCCGCCGCCCCCCCCCGCCCCCCTCGCAGACCGAGGAGATGGAGAAAACAGCGCTCAGAGTAAAACAAATACAGCGACCCTTAACGGTGCCGAGTTTCCAGGCAGCGTCATTCCACCTCCCCCTGCCTGCCCGTGCTGCAAGGGGGGGTGTTCGCTACAAGTGAAGCCACCTGCCCAGGTATGGCTGGGGCTTCGGGTGGCCCCTGCTGTCCTGTGTGGGCTATTCTGCATCTCCAAGCTAGCCACAAAGTGGGCATCACTCCAGCTCAACACCAACTGGCATCACATTTTGCAAAGGAGCAAATAAAATAGACAAAGTCTCCCCCCTGCATCTTCTCTGACCATGTAATCTCGCTCCCCCTTTAACCAACCTAGAGGTTGAAATTGGGTGGGCAGCAATGGTAACAGTGGATACAGTTAATGTGAAGACAGTTATGAAACAACATTGCTTTAAGGAAACACCAGCCTACCCTTTCCTGAGACAACACAGATATTTGGGTAGCTCATTCTTTGTAGTTGGGTGAAATTCTTCCTCTGCCTAGGTAACAGCTGCAGCATGATGAAAATAGCTTCCCTCTGATGCTATGCACTTGTGCAAATCAGATTCTGCTAATTACGAACTCCCATTTACTTTACATTTTATAATATCATTTAAAGTGGTAATGAATACCACGAACAATGTGACATAACTCTCCAAGGCAGAGGAATCAGTTCACCAAATGTGATCTTATGAAAAGAGTTGAACTGTTTTTCCTTTGCTACCAATGTTAACATGATTCAGTAGGAGAGAGAAAACTGTATATGTAAATATTGCACACATTCCAGGTGTGAGTGAGCATTCTGCATGGCAAAAATCAGAGATTTTAAATGAGCAACAGAATTTCTTCATTTATGGAAATGAAATAAACAGTATGCTCTGAAGGCTGACTGTATCTAATTGAAACAATTGTAGAATGTTATTTTGCATTAAGCGGATAGCTTGATACCTGAACACAAATGCAGCTGACATCAGTGATTTGCATATCACAACAGATATGAAGTAATCTGTGATTAATATTCACCCAATTAAAAACTGAAGTCTTTAAAATGAAAACGCCTTTAATTATTGAACCATTAACAAAGCACTATGCTCATAAAAGGGAATACATGTATATAACAGGTCCAATTCGCAAGTGGATGTGCATAGTTTGGCCTGAATTTCCCAAACTCTTTCTTCAAATACATTTTCAAGATGGGGAACTCAGGACTGCAATAGAATGCAGTCAGTAAAACAAGTTAATACCAGATTGAAAAAGCTACCTAAAGTAGCTTCATATATAGAAGTATAGGTGTGAGGATCAAGGTGCTGGTTTTGTTTTATCTATCATTTTAAACCAGATGTTAGACTAATTCGTTGCTTCTTTAATAGGGTCAAATTGAATCAGGCATTTTTAGTATGCCACTACTCCACTGCCATTCAAATAACTGGCTAGACACCTAAAGAAAACTTCAGACCCATACAACAAAGAAGCAAGCTTCAAACTGTTAAAGCATGAAATGAATAAGCATCTAACTAAAGGGAATTAAAAAAGCAACACAGACTTCATAGCTAAATTACTTTTATTGTTTGCATTATAAACTGCTATTGACAGTGGTTTATATTGATGCTATTGTAAATCATGTCAGAACAAAACTTAATATGCAATACGAATTTGTTGTTAGAGAAGGATTTAATATATTTTAGCACTTTTTTTTACTGTGTTACAAAAGAAAGAAGAAAGCTCAAAAGCTTTTTAAAGTGATTTCTGAGCTATCACTAAACTATATCATGTCAGATCTGTTGAGACTTATTCCAACATTTATATATAAAGAATTGTACCTTTTGGTATTAAAAAAACCCATAAGAAACCAGTTCTAATTTTGAAAAGTAAAACCAGAACATGAATTCAAGATCAAGATCTAAGACAGTGGCACACTTAAGATATAATTTGCATAAAATGGTTCCATCTGATGCTGGGTCATATTTTCCCTTGAGGTATGTGCAGGATTTCTATTGTCATCAATGGAAATTCTCCATACAGATTGATGGTAGACCATGGCCTATAGATGAAGGGAGAGGAAGGACAACTCGGGTTATCTGGTCTGAATCGCTGCACTTTACAAGATAACTCTGGACTACCAATCATTCCCATTATTGTCTTGTCTACCCTGTTCTCAGATATCTGCACTGATGGTACTTCTATACCACCTCTAGTTAATTTTTTCCCCTCTACTCAAGAGTGTCTTTACTGGTAAGAATTTTCTGGCAATGGCCAGAATAAACATTTCCTTTTTTGAAGTTTAGCATCAGAACCCATTTTAACAGCTAGAATAGTAAAAACTGTTCACGGAAAAGAGAGAAAGGTGATCAAACAAGGAAGTGAGATATTCTACTCTATGTACTTGGAGATGCATACAGGGTGGCACTCATCAATGGTGCAATTACCATATCAACAGATGTCATTACTGCATCTAAATACGAGTTCCTGGGATCACAAGCTGATTCATTGTTTTTGGCTAAGGCAACTTGTCTCAAATCTCAGCAAAAAATCATATAGAAGTTTATGTTGATTTCATTTAGGTCATCACAAATGCCATGTCCATAATCTCTCACCCACCCATATTTAGAGGTAGGTAGAAATAGAGGAAATAGAAGTGCAAGACTTTATGGGCATTCAAAATCTGCTATCAGAAAAGCACTCCTATAACAAAGTCCTCTAAATGCGGAGGCCAGTGGAAATGCTGAATCCAACATTCATGGCAAGATCATGTATCAAGAACCCTTGAGCGCCTGATCCTGCTTCCCGCACACAATGCTCATTGAAGTCAACGTGAGCTCTGTGCGGAGGGTTTTTTGCAGAATGGGGTCTTGAGAGAGAACTGGAGGAAAGGGTGATCTGAGCACCCTAAACTTCTTTTTCTTGGAGACATTCTATTTAATTTGTAAATGTGGGGTACTCTGGGCGTTGTGCTGTAGTAAGACACAACTACACAAGGGGTGTGTGTTTCTATGCCTCTGTCTCTTTCTGTGTACACAGAGCTTTGAAATCAGAGACTGCAACAACAAGGATTGTGACTATCTTTACCCAGATGGGGTTCACAAGGGGACCCTTGCACCTGTTCCCACACCCACTCACTACCAGCTGTGATCTAGCCCATTTTATTATATCTGGCAACTGTAATGACAGCAGTGGGACCTGTGGTTCTGGTCCAAAAGATACAGAAGTCAATGGGAATTTCAATGGAATTTGGTTCAGGCCTTAAGTCATTAAAATTATTTGTAGCAATGTAAGTTTACACACCACTTTAGACACATTCCCTGCCTTGAAGAAATTTAGAGAAGGAACTACAGTTAAACCTTGTGGTTGTGTGTGGAGGGGGAAGAGGGGAGGAATTGTTTAATTTTAATACTAAAAGGGGCTGGTTAGCAATATTTTGACATAGAAAGCACAAGTTGATGTGTCCTCTGTCTGCTCCTCGAGTTTCCATGGTAAAACAATTTATATTTAACAAGGCGACACCATCCCTCTGCTACCAGATAACAATTGCAACCCTCAGCAAACAGCCAAACACAACAGTGACTGCACAACACTGACTAGTAATGATTCTGCAGCTGACAGGACATGTCCTTTCTATGAGAAGTAGGGATCAGTAACTCCACCCGTTGGTCCTCCCTTTACATGCGTTTAGTTGAGCTGTTGTCAGAGGAGAAAGAGAGAGAGAGGGAGAGAAAGAGTGTAAGCATCCTTGGGGGGGAAAAATTGTATTTGAGTTACTCTCTGCATGTGCAACTTTTAAAGATACAATGTGATAGGAAACAGTGTGAGTCTGTAATACACTGAAGACAGAACCACTGCAACCGAGCGCTGTGCCAAATAAAGTGGAAGAAATGCTGTCAAAGATATGGCTCTGCACGGTTCCATATTATTTCCAGCTAACTTACTCCAGTTTATCCAGGAGCCCTCTTCAAGCTGCAACAAGTAACCTATCACCTGCTACGGGAAAGCAAACATCAGCTGAGAATACATTGCCGCCTGTATTTTCTCAGCACCGGGAAAGGTGTTTTTTGTTTGTTTGTTTTCATTTCATCGATCATTCACAACAAGTTGTTACCTTTCAAGTTGGATAAAGAGGGTATGCTTCTGTTAGTGGGCTTTCTGTAAACTCAGCCCACATGGGTCCTTGTCCCCAGAAGTACTCCAGCCTACCTGCACAGTCAAGGCACACTGAGCAGGCATTTGATTGCACTAAATTGGAGATGCCAAAACCACCTTGTCAGTGCAAATGTTTACACATTTTCTTTGCGTACGTTCAGTAACCCAGGGATCACTCATCTCGCCAACTCACTGTCAGAGGCCAAGAGCTGAAGCCATGCTTGGTCAAAAGGCAA